CGGAGTTGGGGGGAGGGGGGCGGAAATGTTTTTACCTTTCAAGGTAATCTGATTAAAGGTCTCAACGAAAGGAACTGTTCCCTGTCAACTACCACCCTTTTCACCCACATTTTATCAGAGTTGAGCCGGGGGGGGGGGGGGTTAACCGGTTCTCCTCGACCCTTTATCGTGATCGGTGATAATTTCTTATATCCTAAGACCGTAGTGTCGGACGAGGGCACTCAACAAAGGGCGATTGGGATATCTGGGAGGAGAGCATCCACAAAGGCAAAATGGATCGTCTGGATACAATACAGGGGGTAATTTAAAAAACGCTTCAACCTGTAGCGCCTACAGTTGTTGTCCGAATTCAATGCAACAAAAATGTTTTAAACTAGGTTTTAAATTATTATTATCGGGGGCATCGAATGTAACAGAAATCGTGAGAAACTTTACTGTGGTTGCTGGCTTTAATTTTTTTTAATGGATTTCAGTCAATTAACTGATATGTTGCAAGTGTACCTCGCGTGCAATAAAAACCGTGCATCTGTATTGCAAACGATTCCCTAATTGAGATCCTGCGAACCGCGAAAGTTTGCTAGGCCGAAAGAAAACATGAAATTTAAGGTTTAACAAGTACAAATTGTGCACAACCCTTGGTAAAGCGCATTTTTTTTAAAACACCCCTACGAAATTTCTTCCATAAATAAGAAAGTTGGCACTGTACATCCTGCACAAAACCAAATTTGAAAAATGGCGCTACATTTGCTTTATTCCAAGTGGCTATGTATCAAATTTCATTTAACTCCCTCCATAAATAAGAAAAAATTTTGAAACTGGTGTTAAATTTTCTTTTATCCCAAGTGTTTCATTTAAATGCCTCCATGAATAAGAAAGCACTGCGCATGCGCAAAGCCAAATTTTGAAACTGGCGTTAAATTTAGTTTTATTCCAAGTGGATATGTATCAAATTTTATTTAAATTAAATGCCTAATGGTTATATTTCTTCCAAACGTCCCAATGGCCCTTTGTAGGTACTTTCCTTTGACAGTTCACTCTTAAGATATAAGGAATTATAACCGATCACGACAAGGGATCGAGGAGGATGACTATCGTTAGTATAAATTAATTCCTTTCGTTGAGACGTTTCATTAGAGTACCGTGAAGGAAAACTAGTTCCACTCCTCCCCCTCCACTCCGTAGTTTGATAAGAGGACAGAAAGAAGGGCAGTAGTTTGTTCCTTTCGTTGAGGCCTTTAATTAGAATTCAATGAGAGATGAAATTAATTTTTAACCCCCCCACCCCCCTCAGGCCCCTTCGCTCATTGTTTTCGAAAAAGAGTCGCACGGGAAAGTTATATAGTTTGTACAAATCAATTTATTTCGATGAGACCTTTCATTATAATACCATGAAAGGTAGAACATGTGTTTACGTCCACCCCCCCCCTTTTCTAAAGTTTAACTTGGCGCCATTAAAGGCATTCGTATGCAAAATCTGAGACCAATTTGTTGTCGTATCTCGTATGTAAAAGCTATTGCCGTTTTCTTTCAAAAACAGCATCTCAGGAAATAATTCGTGCGGGGCCCCCCCTTTTACACAGCGAAATTTGATGTCCATCTGGCACACCTTCAAGGTATAAGCTACCTACTGCAAAAATTCCAGGACGGACGGACAAAACGCATACATGGCACATCTTTTTTAATTCTTAAAAAATTCGCTAAAAAACTGAAGAGAGAAGAGCGCCTCATGCGTAATAAATCCAATATGAAGCGGGCAATTATCGCTCAATTACAGTGATAATTTCCCTCTATGTGAAAGATCCCGGCAATAATTTCTTATAGGCCCCGTGTCTATAGTAACAAGGGAAAATAATTTCAACGAGTGCTTTCTGTGCTAATGAGGTTTATGCTAATTTGAAATAAATCAAAGATTCTAGAAATATTGTGCCGAATTAGACTCGTTCTTTAAAATAAACATGATAATTTTTGATGCAAGCAAGTGTTAAGTAAAAGACTGCATTTGGTTATTTCCATATTTTGTTTCAAGCACGAGCCCTTGGTCAAAATATGAAAATAGCTCATGTAGTTTTTAGACAACATGCTTTCAAAAAATGTATTATTATGATGCACTTGCGTGTAATTCCTACTTGCGAAAATTTTAGATTTTCCAACGCATGCATTTGTTTCTAAAACATTTACCTACTACCTACTACAAAACGCTTATTGTTTACTGAAGAACAATATGAATTAAATTATTTTTCATTCGAGGCGGCAATTACAAAATACGAATAGTAAAAATATAACGCGATAATAATGCCATCTTTCATATAGTGGCTGAACTACGAAACAGTACGGACTGATAAAATTTTACAATTAATGGACATGGGTGTGTGTCTGCGCTTCATTGTATTTTGTATCTCGCAATTCCAACAATTACGACAAAATGGTGCAATATATCAACAAACAAAGTATATTAGGTTCAACACTGAACCTTCTAGATCAATATCAGCTAATATGAAACTGTAATTTTGTTAAATAAAAGCAGGATTGTTGGAATGGCGATGGTCTGTTTTTGATGCGTTCCGGCGGTCTTAAGGAGCGGGTGTGAATCAAGTTACAGTCGATATATTCAAATTACTGACGCAAATGAAACTGATCCACTATTATTAAAAAATAAAACAAAGAACCAACGTTTTTCCACGATACATATTTCACAACTTGCTATTTCATGAAACCGAAAAATTTTGGGTGAATGATTTTTGGAATCAGAAAAGGTGCACTCAAAAGCATTTGCAAATCCGTTAATTAATTTCATTCTCATGGAAGTATAGATTTCAGTTAGTTTCATTATATTAAATACTTAAATTGTTTGCGTAGGTTAGTTATTATTTTTTCTTTTCTTTTACTGCTATATATAGCAAAAGGTGGCTTAATTTTATTTTATTGTATTTATATTTTTACTTAAGAAGCAACTCCTCAGACGGTCTACGAACCATGAGAATATGTCTTTTGCCAAACAATGTTTTAAGTTTGTATTTATTATGAGGTATAGCAAAATAAAGATTACTATTATTATTATTATTAAGCACACTCCGGAAGGAAAATTTCCGGAGTAGTGTGGGGCTCTCCTAACAGGTATACCCACTAAAACCCCACCTTAGGCTCGGCTTCTAAGGCCATTTGCCTTTCAATTACACACAAAACAAACCGTCAACATACTATAAATATTACAGTTTATCATTAAAACCAATGCTACTAATAAAACGTAGAGAATTTAGGCATTTGTCCTTGGTATTAAGATTTTCCGCCCAAGTATCACTTATTTTGTTAAGATCTCGCGCATTCCTATATTCCGGGCAAACGCATAGTATGTGTTCCAAAGACAAATCCACTCCACAGTGGTCACATTGTGGCCGATCATCACCCGCCAACAGAAATCCGTGGGTCAGAGCACTGTGACCGAGTCGAAGTCTGAATAGTCTCGTTAAGGCCAGACGAGCCATGCCTAAAGGAAACAAAGGCCCTATTTCAGCTTTGACCCTTTTCAGAAAGGCATCAGACTCCGCCCACTGTCCATTCCAGCGTTCATACACACGCGCTTTCACAACCCCACGTCGTGCTGTTATAGTCATGTCTACAATGTCGGCATATTCCAGTTGTAGATATGCAAACTCCTCTCTAGCTCTTTCTCCTAAGGACCTACATCTATACAGACGGGCGCGCGTGGTTACGTTTCTTAGCAGATGGTAATTCGGATGATTACCATCCATCGACACTTTGAGGTAATAATTTACCACGATCTGCTTTCTTCGAAGAGCTAGAGGAAGAATGTTTGCCCCAACGTTTAGTGACTCGACGGGACTGGTCGGAAAGGCTCCAAGGGAGTATCTTATGGCAAGATTCTGTATTCTGTCCAGCTTGCCAAGCAACGTATTACTACTACATGTAGAATACACAGAACATCCGTAGTCGATCCTTGATAGTATGAGACCTTTATATAGGTCTAGCAGCGTCTTGGGATGCGCTCCCCACTTGTGGTGAGCTAAGACTCGGATGACATTCAGGGACTTTCTACATGTAGTAGCAACGTTCTGTATATGCGCGGACCAGCGTAGCTCTCTATCGAACGTTAGACCCAGGAACTTGACCTCTTGGACCACGCTTATTATGCGGTCATTCATAAATAAAACCGGGTCATAATGGGGTTTGCGAAGTCGACAAAAATGTGCAACCTTCGTTTTCTCCTCTGATAACACAAACCCAACAACGTTGGCATTATTACATATTTGATTTATCGCCACTTGTAATTTACGTGTTATAATACCGACGGTCTTATCTGCACAAAAAATCGTCAGGTCGTCGACGTATAAACATTTTCCGATTTCGTCAGCAACACCTCGAGCTATTTCGTTGATGGCAATGCCAAACAGGGAACAGCTAAGTGTGGAGCCCTGCGGCACCCCATTCTCTAAAACGTGCTCGTTTGAATAAGCGTCGCCAACTCGTACGACAAATTTCCTATTTTCCACAAAAGATTGTATAAACTTTGGCAGATTCCCTCGTAGATTATATTTGAACATATTTTGTAGTATACCATACCTCCAAGTCATGTCGTATGCACCCTTGATGTCAAAGAAGACCCCAACCAGGTGCTCGCCACTGTCGAACGTATTCAGAATACGATCGCTCAACTTGACCAGATGGTCAATAGTTGATCGTCCCTTCCGAAAACCGGTTTGATATGGGACGTATATATTGTTACGTTCGAGGAACGTTTGCAACCTCCCGTTTACCATCTTTTCCAACAGTTTGCCTAGACAAGAGGTCAAACTTATTGGACGGTAGTGTTGTGCTAACAGCGGGTCTTTTCCCGGCTTCGGTATAGGGACTACAACTGCCTGTTTCCATTCAGAAGGGTAAGTTGATTCGATCCAGCAGGTATTAAAGAATTTTAAGATGATCTCTTTCATTTCAGCACTACAGTGACGAAGCATCTGGTTATGGATACCATCTCCTCCCGGTGAACATGACTTGGTGTTACGGATTGCTTCATCTAGATCTTCTAGGTTAAAGGGTAAGTTATCATCTAGAGTTTCATCGGTATCAAAGTTTATAGGTGTCAATTCTTTCTCGATTTTAGCCTCTAGAAAAGTACGAGGATAATTGAGTGAACTGCTAACTTTATAGAATTGATCGGCAATAATGTTACTTATTTCCTGCAGGTTGTTGGTAACTACCCCATCGGAGTTACGCAGAAATCTGGGATAAGCGCAGCCGATTTTACCGGATATTGCTCCTACCTTCTTCCAGACTTCGCCAATGGTTGTCTCCGGTGTGATGGTGGAAACGTATCTTTGCCATGAGTTTCTTTGTGCCTCTAATATCCGCCGACGACACTCGGATCTTCGTTTTTTAAATTCGATTAAATTCTCCATTGTAGGATGGCGACGGAACCTATTTAATGCTCTTTTCTTTAATAAAATTTTTTCTTTTATTTCAGGTGATTATTATTATTATTATGGTCGGTGTTTCTTGTGAGAACTCAGGTCTAGCCTGGTTAACTAATCGCACGGATTAAAATCAAGTAACGATTAGTGTCTGTGTCTGGTGAAGTTATGTAGGGTTCTAAAGAAAAATAAACAATAAAATAAATATTCACACACTCACATTGGAAATCTAGAGATAGTATGTAATTCATACTTACCAACATAGCTATTAATGGCCCCAATAGTCAACGCTATCAGAAAAGAAGAAAACAAAACAAAAATATCATTATATTATAATAATTCCTGTAATTTTATTAAATAGAGTTTATTGTGTATAAGTGTTTCTTTGGCTTTGCGTTTGGGTTGAATACGAGTGGGTTGTGATAACGTGGTGTGTTTATGTGAAGAAGGAGTTTTGTGTTTTTTAATTGTATTTATGGTGTTTCTTTGTTCCTGAGGTCGTATTTGTGATGTTGTTTGGGTTTTTGGTGGAGATATTGCAGTATTTTGTGAGCCTGTGGTGCTGTTAAGGTTTTTGCGCTTCGGTTGTATACGAGTGGGTTGTGACAATGTGGTGTGTTTCTGTGAAGAAGGAGTTATGTGTTTTTTAAGTGTGCTAGGGCGTGTAACTTTATTGGGTGGACCTGTCTTTGTAGTGCATGTTGCGTTACTTGTATTTATGGTGTTTATTTGTTCTTGACGTTGTATTTGTGTGGTTGCTTGGGTTTTTGGTGGAGATATTACAGTATGTTGTGAGCATGTAGTTCTGTTAAGGTTTTCGCGTTTCGGTTGAATACGAGTGGGTTGTGATAACGTGGTGTGTTTCTGTGAAGAAGGAGTTTTGTGTTTTTTAATTGTATTTATGGTGTTTCTTTGTTCCTGAGGTCGTATTTGTGAGGTTGCTTGGGTTATTGATGGAGATATTACAGTATTTTGTGAGCTAGTAGTGCTGTATAGGTTTTTGCGTTTGGGTTGAATACGAGTGGGTTGTGATAAAGTGGTGTGCTTCGGTGAAGAAGGAATTATGTGTTTTTTAACTCTGCTAGCGCGTGTAACTTTATTGGGTGGACCTGTCTTTGTAGTGCATGTTGCGTTACTTGTATTTATGGTGTTTCTTTGTTCTTGAGGTTGTATTTGTGTTGTTGCTTGGGTTTTTGGTGGAGATATTACAGTATGTTGTGAGCGTGTAGTTCTGTTTCAAAAAAAAATCACACATGGGCACAATAAGCCAACGCTATCAGGAAAGAGGAAAACAAAACAAAACAAAAATCATTATAATAATTCCTGTAATTTTATTAAATGGAGTTTATTGTGTAAGTGTTTCTTTGGCTTTGCGTTTGGGTTGAATACGAGTGGGTTGTGATAACGTGGTGTTCTTCGGTGAGGATGGAGTTTTGTGTTTTTTTACTGTGCTAGGACGTGTAACTTTATTGGGTGGACCTGTCTTTGTGGTACATGTTGCCTTACTTGTATTTATGGTGTTTCTTTGTTCTTGAGGTTGTATTTGTGTTATTGCTTGGGTTATTGGTGGAGGTATTACTGTATTTTGTGAGCTAGTAGTGCTGTTTAGGTTTTTGCGTTTGGGTTGTATACGAGTGGGTTGTGATAACGTGGTGTGTTTCTGTGAAGAATGACTTTTATGTTTTTTAACTGTGCTAAGACGTGTAACTTTATTGGGTGGACCTGTCTTTGTAGTGCATGTTGCGTTACTTGTATTTCTTGTGTTTCTTTGTTCTTGAGGTTGTATTTGTGTGGTTGCTTGGGTTATTCGTGGAGATATTACAGTATTTTGTGAGCCTGTAGTGCTTTTAAGGTTGTTGCGTTTCGGTTGAATACGAGTGGGTTGTTTCTGAGAAAGAGGAGTATTGTGTTTTTTAACTGTGCTAAGACGTGTAATTTTATTGGGTGGACCTGTTTTTGTAGTGCATGTTGCGTTACTTGTATTTATTGTGTTTCTTTGTTCTTGAGGTTGTGTTTGTGTGGTTGCTTGGGTTATTCGTGGAGATATTACAGTATTTTGTGAGCCTGTAGTGCTGTTTAGGTTTTTGCGTTTGGGTTGTATACGAGTGGGTTGTGATAACGTGGTGTGTTTCTGTGAAGAATGAGTTTTATGTTTTTTAACTGTGCTAGGGCGTGTAACTTTATTGAGTGGACCTGTCTTTGTAGTGCATGTTGCGTTACTTGTATTTCTTGTGTTTCTTTGTTCTTGAGGTTGTATTTGTGTGGTTGCTTGGGTTATTGGTGGAGACGTTACAGTATTTTGTGAGCCTGTAGTGCTGTTAAGGTTGTTGCGTTTGGGTTGAGTACGAGTGGGTTGTGATAATGTGGTGTGTTTCTGTGAAGAAGGAGTTTTGTGTTTTTTAGCTGTGCTAGGTCGTGTAACTTTATTGGGTGAGGGCGTCTTTGTAGTGCATGTTGCGTTACTTGTATTTATTGCGTTTGTTTGTTCAGGAAGTTGTGTTTGTGTGGTTGGTTGAGTTAAGGGTGGAGATATTACAGTATGTTGTGTGTCATGTTATGAGTCTAAAGTGCTGTTTAGGCTTTTGCGTTTGGGTTACTTGTCGTGTTAGTTTTGAAGAACGAGTTCCTTGTATGTATTGTGTAATCCGACCTAAGTCACGTCTGATGTTATCGATGCGAGTTATCAGGCGTTTTTCCCAGGCCGGGGGTGAGCGTTTTTTTGTTGTGTGCTGTTGTTTGTTTATTGTTATTCTTGCACCGTTACATCTAGAAACTGCAACCGCACCGCAATACACAACAAAGTGTAGTTGATGTAAGCTTGTGTTATCGTTAATGTAATTTGGTAAGATGTGGTCATTTAATGTTTGTGAAAGTGTGCGTAATTTTGTAGTGTGACTTTGTTTAGGTATTCGTGGTCTTTGTGTTGGGTCAGTGTTTGAGAATTCTAATAATGCATTGTCTAATTCTTTTTGAAGGGATGTGAGTGTTTGGTTCGTGTGATTATTTGTATCTATCGATGGCTGCAGTGTCGCAAATGTCTGTATTTCAGAGTTGTTTAGAACGGATGTATTATCTTGTACGGTGAGTGTGTTGTTTGTGTTGAGTAGTGCTTCAATTTCGTGCCTGATTTGTTCCTGTGTGTCTAATGTAAGGAGTGTATTTTTAATAATAACTCTACGTTGGTCTGCAATGCGTTGTTCTGTTAAGTGTGCTAAATGTGGGTATTGTGTAATGAACGCGTGATATAGTTTACCTCTGTATGCTGTCCTGTCCGTTTCCATCTTCGTGATCTCCAGATACGTACCAAAAATGAAGCGATTCATCCCTTCGTCCCATTTCATACGTCTTTTGGAGGTTTCCTTTGCGCTGGTCCCATCCACAAGCGGTTGAGAAGCAGGCACAAAGGTCTCATGGCGGTCCTCTTCAGGTGGTCGTTGTCCTCTTCGTAGTCTTCTTTCGGCTGTAGAGGTTTCGGGTATCCCGACGAGCGGCCGCCTGTTCACCAACTCGTCACTATCGGCTCGCATGCTGCAACGCCCAGCGATAGCTCCAGACGTGCCCTGACGCTCCTCAGGTAGCGGCATTTTTCCGAGGCTTTGTTATTATTATTATTATCGGTGTTTCTTGTGAGAACTCAGGTCTAGCCTGGTTAACTAATCGCACGGATTAAAATCAAGTAACGATTAGTGTCTGTGTCTGGTGAAGTTATGTAGGGTTCTAAAGAAAAAAAAAAAAAAAAAATATTCACACACTCGCATTGGAAATCTACGGATAGTATGTAATTCATACTTACCAGCATAGCTATTAATGGCCACAATAGTCAACGCTATCAGGAAAGAAGAAAACAAAACAAAAATATCATTATAATAATTCCTGTAATTTTATTAAATAGACTTTATTGTGTAAGTGTTTCTTTGGCTTTGCGTTTGGGTTGAATACGAGTGGGTTGTGATAACGTGGTGTGTTTATGTGAAGAAGGAGTTTTGTGTTTTTTAATTGTATTTATGGCGTTTCTTTGTTCCTGAGGTCGTATTTGTGAGGTTGTTTGGGTTTTTGGTGGAGATATTGCAGTATTTTGTGAGCCTGTGGTGCTGTTAAGGTTTTTGCGCTTCGGTTGTATACGAGTGGGTTGTGACAATGTGGTGTGTTTCTGTGAAGAAGGAGTTATGTGTTTTTTAAGTGTGCTAGGGCGTGTAACTTTATTGGGTGGACCTGTTTTTGTAGTGCATGTTGCGTTACTTGTATTTATGGTGTTTCTTTGTTCTTGACGTTGTATTTGTGTGGTTGCTTGGGTTTTTGGTGGAGATATTACAGTATGTTGTGAGCATGTAGTTCTGTTAAGGTTTTCGCGTTTCGGTTGAATCCGAGTTGGTTGTGATAATCTGGTGTGTTTCTGTGAAGAAGGAGTTTTGTGTTTTTTAACTGTGCTAGGACGTGTAACTTTATTGGGTGGACCTGTCTTTGTAGTGCAAGTTGTGTTACTTGTATTTGTGGTGTTTCTTTGTTCTTGAGGTTGTATTTGTGTGGTTGCTTGGGTTTTTGGTGAAGATATTGCAGTATTTTGTGAGCTAGTAGTGCTGTCAAGGTTTTTGCGTTTGGGTTGTATACGAGTGGGTTGTTTCTGAGAAGGAGTATTGCGTTTTTTAACTGTGCTAGGACGTGTAACTTTATTGGGTGGACCTGTCTTTGTAGTGCATGTTGCGTTACTTGTATTTATGGTGTTTCTTTGTTCTTGAGGTTGTATTTGTGTTGTTGCTTGGGTTTTTGGTGGGGGTATTACAGTATGTTGTGAGCGTGTAGTTCTGTTAAGGTTTTCGCGTTTCGGTTGAATACGAGTGGGTTGTGATAACGTGGTGTGTTTATGTGAAGAAGGAGTTTTGTGTTTTTTAATTGTGGTAGGACGTGTAACTTTATTGGGTGGACCTGTCTTTGTAGTGCAAGTTGCGTTACTTGTATTTATGGTGTTTCTTTGTTCTAGAGGTTGTGTTTGTGTTGTTGCTCGCATTATTGGTGGAGACATTACGGTATTTTGTGAGCCTCTAGTGCTG